ATTTTTTTAGTATTTCAGAACCTACCGGAGAGATTCAGCCATTCGTCTCAAGTCTTCATTCTGCTGCTTTAAACGTTCCAGCTTTGCCAGAATCTTAGACAGTTCTCAACTAGAGTGATCCGGGTGGTCATTATCTTGAACCAAGTGACCACCTATATAAAATAGCAAGGTCCCCCAGGCAAAAAGAATGAGCATAATCCAACACCAGGAACCAGTCCATGGCTGCATTTTCAGATTTTCAACTCACTCTCCTAGCTTCCTGGAGCTCAAAGAATTGAAAACATCATAACTGTTTCTAGTTAGTACACAGATGAAAAAACTTCAGATGTTTCAATACATGATGCTTCAGAACAATTAGTCTCTCTGGTAGTCCTGTGACGAATCTTTCAAAGAGATCCTTCTGGTGATTGAATAGGAAGCTTCATGGACTCTATGTGCTGAATTTGTTCAGTCAATCAATAAAGGAAATAAAGCACTTTATGTTGAATGAAAACACCATCAGAGTCATGGATGTTCTCTTAGCAAAAGCAGCAGCAACCAGTGGAATGGAGCAGTGCACACAGTGGACTGCAGTGGCTGGTGAGTTATTCAGGTTCACATGTTCCCCAGGGGAAGGAGATTGGCAGGTAGGAATCTTGGAGAGGGCCCAACTGAGCTTGAAACTCAGAGCAGCTGCAGGATGGCTCCATCATGGTGAAGCAGAACCCTCATAAACTATTTTTAACTATATACAATCAGGTGCTATATTTAAGCACCATAGAAAAGCTGTTACCTTTATCAACCAGGAGAAGCAAGGGCTAATGTAAGGTAACTATAAAAATATAAAAGGGTAAATTGTTTCTCTAAATGAAGGAAAATCACTTTATCTGAAAAGCCACCTTATATGTACCAAAAATTTCCACAAAAAATTCTATTTTGCCAGGACAATTAAGCAAGATAAAGGTAGGTAAATGGTCAGTAATCTATCCATTAGAAGTGTTTCAAAAATTTACAAAAAGGACCTTAGCATTCTGACTTCCAAACTAGTCTCTTGTTATAATCATCACATGGTTCTCTGCTGTTCTTTTTCCACAATTAGGAAAAAAAAAACCACAGTCAACTAACTTCACCAAGTTCATACCTACATTGCTGGTGGTTATTGCCAATTATTGCATGATGAAGAAATGAAATTATAAAGAAAGTACAACCATTAACATTTCCATGGTCATTATCTTTTTTTCATTAAACAAACTGTATAAAGTAATCTTATAATGGGGTAGCACACAACACTTGTTTTAGCAAACAAAATGGACAAAAGCATGCTTATGCAGGCACAGTCAAATTCTTGTTAGAACTAATCCAAGTGTGGATGTATTTAAAACACAGCAAAGCTCCGGGTGTCACAATTTGAAGTAAAAATACAGTAGTTGAGCACTCATGAAAATGAGGACATACTTTTGCTCTGAACCAAAAACAATCAAACTTTAAAAATATCACTTTGCTACTTTCTGATCCATTTGGTTTAATTCACCCATTTGGTAATTTCAAGCATCTTGTTAATACCTTAGGTAAAACAATCACGCAGAGATACAAAATAACCACTACATCGATGGGCCTATCACTAGTCACAACATACATGTGTGGTAGAAATCTTGGTTTATTTCTTCAAATTTTCTCATTCTAGAGCTAGGGAACTAATAAAAGGGTGGGTGGGATGGAGAAAAGATATCAATATAACTGGTGCATGATTTATGAAAGCACCACAAATGAAAAAAATCAAGTACAGAAACTAATGATTGACTGTATGTATAAAGGAAGCTTACAACAAGAAAAATACCACTAAATACATTACAGTGACTTGATTCTCATTGGTTTACCTATTATTTTTCAAGAACACAGTTGTATGAAGAAGTAAAATACGCTTCTTTGATAAATGTAGGTACAAGCACCACTAAAAATTCTGGTCAAGTAAAATTATGGGGAATCAAAATATATTTATTCGAAGACTACTTCCGAGGCTGTAACACAGGGCTGGCTATAAGATTTTTTTTTTTTTTTTGGTACCGGGGATCGAACTCAGGACCTTGTACTGGCAAGGCAGTCAGGTGTCGGCACTACTGAGCTAAATCTCTGGCCCTATAAGATCTATTTTAAAGAGTACATATATCCTGTCCTATTCTCAATGGGCTGAAATGGATAATTTACATGACTGTGAACACTGATTTTCCAATTTTAACCTAGTAAATATCTGCATCTATTAAATGGAAATTGCTCTGCAAAATAACATTTGTAGTTTTTAAGAATCAGAAAATGACAAAAAATGTCAAGTTTCTAGGGAAAATTTTTGTTGGTATATTTTCAAAAGGAGCCTTTTAGAAGCTGGATGAGATACTTAGGTCTTACGAAATTGAAAAAAAAAATCCTGTAGAACCTCAGAATTCTCTCCACCTTGGAGGTGGCTTGAAAAAAGTGAATAACAGCACAAGTTTATCACCATCTAAACATACACTGATCCGTGCCTATTAACTTTCATGTATCTTCTCAACTCTGTGAGATGGGCACAGGTTTACAGAGGAGGAAAAATCAATGTCAACTCTTCCATGAACCTTAACCCAACTCTGTCATTTGGTTCTAATTATGATCTGCCTGGTTTACTAGTGGGTCTTCCTCCTCCCCTTTTACACCCTCCCCTCCTTAGTGTGCGTACTTTATAGGCAGGGAACGGAATCTTCATTATGTTATTATCCAAACATTCCTGTAGCACACAGTAGTCGATTAAGGTAGAGTAAATGAAAGAATTTGACAAATGACACAAAACAAGAGATACGGAGGGGACTGAAATGCGGGTTTGGGGGCTCTTCTCTTTTCCCTTACATTACACTGCCTAAAGGAAGCCTGGTCCACCAATTCAAGATCAGAAATTATCACGAAAAAGAACTTTTGTCTTCCTAACCTTTAAAAGTTTGAATGCCCCTGCCTATGAAGGGCAATTTGAAAATTACATTCTTTGGAGAGTTGAGACACTTGGACAAGAAACACTTAATTTTTAAATCTAAGGATAGGGCAGAGCGGGTTTGACAGGGAAAGTTGAATTTCCGTTTGTTTAATTGGTTTAGTTAAACCGCGGCTTTGAAAGAAGGGGCAACGCCAAACACTCAAGAGAGAAATGTATCAGGACGTTGTAATACATAGTGTGATAGGGCGATCCCGGGGACTGAAAACTTGGACACAGAGTAAAGATGCTAAATTAGGAGGGGTCAGCAATTCGGTGCCCTACTCTTCGACTTTACCTGACACCAACGCTCCCCCAATTCAATCTGTCATTTAGAGCCTATCAAGACCTGGTTGGGGGGCCTCTTTCTAAACATTCCCGCCCCCCCCCTTACACTCCCCAGGGTGGTGATTACTGGTACATGTTTTGTGAAGAAAAAAAAAGTTAAGTCCACAACGGAGAATTGGTCGCCTAAATGGGTCCAGTCTAGCTCGACCACTCGCCATCAGCCCCCTCCCCCAGGCGAAACGATGGGGCACGCATCTGATTCTTCCTCGGTCTCAGAAAGAATCCCTCCTCCCTTCCTCTGTCCCACCCAAAAGCAACTGCTGGTCCTGTCCGGCTTTCCCGGGATTGGGTGAAGGCAAAAAGGTGGTGGCTGGAGAAGAACCCCAGTCCCTCCGCCCAGGTTTTAGGATTGGTGGCGGGCGCCGATGAGTAACTGTTTTCTTCACCACCTAGTAAGTAACAGTGAACACAATCCTGAGGAAACTGGAGCTGGCTACGACTTACCTGTGAGCCCCCCTCCACCTTCCTCCCCGTACCCTCGACGCCTTTGCAGAACGAAGTAGTCGTTGGACCTTTCCATCAGCCACAGCTTCAGCGCATTTTTCAGAAGCACTTCCTCAGGCTTCAGCCACATCGCGAAGAACTTCGCGTCGCCGGATAGCAGCGACTTATTTGCCCCCCTCACTTCACCTCTAACCTGTCTTTCCCCCTCTGTTTCTCCCACCAAATCTTCCTCAGGCAACAGCGGCTAAGGTTCAGGTTTTCCACACTTCCCCCCAACCCTCTCCTCTCTCCCACGTAGGCAGAGAGGTTGCCAATTCCCTCCCACAGTGCTACCGCCCGACTGGGAAATAGCTCCACTCCTTTACTCCTTTGGGAGTTGTAGTTTTCTGCTCGCTTTTCTGTACTCTCGCAACTGCAGTTCGAGACTACATTTCCCACAATACATTGGGGCGAGTACTGAGTGGGGGATGCTTTCAAAGCCGGTCCCGCCACCAGTTAAGTGTTTTGCCTCTCCCACCAGTTAAGTGTTCTGCCTGTCTAAAGTTTTTTTGTTGTTACTGATTTTGTTAAAATAAGTGAGCCTCAAGTATAAAGGTGTTGCTTGCGTATCAATCTTTGCAGCAAGGACATCAACAAAGTTTCTGCGAGTTTGGAGAAACTACTCATTCCTGGAAGCAGCAGCAGCAACTAACATTTAGCGCTAACTAGGTTCAATACTCAAGACTCAAGGGATCTCGAGTAATCCCCACAGCAGTCTGCGAAGTAGATCATCGCCATTTTTCATGTTAATAAACAAAAGCACTAACTAGTAAGGTGATTTATCCAAGGTCACACAGTCAGTGATACGATTCCTTATCTACATTCAAAATGCTTGCCAAGATTAGGCTCTTTCAGCTCATAGAGAAAGAACATAGAATCTCCAGAAGCCATATATTTTCTTCATGCCATGCATTTCTTTTCCTCACCTACGCCCTTGTCTGTGTAAGTACTGCAATAAGCCAGCCACAGGAAATCTCTAGTCCAACTTTCCTTTTCGAATCTAAGCAACGTATTAGGATAGTTTTCTTTCTTTAAAGGTCTTTAAAAAACAAACCCCTTAAGGGCAGCCTTCACCCCTTTTTATCTTGGCAGTGGTGCACAGCTACTTAAACACTAAGGTGAATAAGGTCAGTAATTTGCATGACATTGCTGTGAGGAAGGAGGGCTGTTTTCCTTTATTTACCTTGACGTTCTGACTACAAAACACTATATTGTTCATGCATCTGGTCCATGAATACCTCAAAGCCAAATTTATTTCTCAAAAATCCTCTGAGGTTGATGTTGTTTCTCTTACTAGGTACTATTAATTCTAAGCACTATTATTTCTCAAGATGCTCAAACTAAGAACCTTGGAATAGTGTTTGGGTTTTTTTTTTTTTCTGTCTCTGTCTCTCTCTTGCACATGCATACACCACTGCTTCTATTTCAAAAGTCCATCCCATCCTCCTATTATGGCTTTAGATTAGCCTCACATTCATTCCTTGCTATACTATTACAGTTGCTTCTCAGCTCATCTGTCTGTTTCTTGTTTTCTGATTTATCCAAGGCAAATATTTACAGACCTTGTAATACACCATGCAGAGATGAATAATATCTCATTTATCCAGAGGTCAATATCCATCTCACTCAGTCTTCTAAATCAAAACTGATAGGTCTTCCACTACCTCAGCAGCTATTATGTATAGTAGCTGCCCTCTTCCTATGGTGCCTTGCCCCTCCCCTGGGTGATGTCATGCCAAGATGGTTGCTCCCACCAAAGAATAAACCCTTCCTCCCAGCATGCCCCTGGTCCCACCTAGAGAGTAACCTAATACTCGCTCACCCCCTACCACCTAGTGACGTCACCGGCTCCTCCACTCCCTGATCACTACCTCACTCAACCCCACCTCAGCCCCTACAAGCCCCACCCCAGTCTCTATAAAAGACTCTCCCTGCCCCAGCCATATTGCTTTTGTCTCTCCTTTGTTCAGAGACAGCCCGGCAGATCTATTCCCCTAATAAAGGCTTGTTGTGGCCTGGTCTGGTCTTGGTCTTCGGCACTTTTACCTGACAAAAACCTCAAACACCTATGAGAAAAGGTATTAGGAATCCCCAAATACCAATTCCAAGCCCTATGGAAAGGCTGAAGCTGCCCTTCAGTTTACTGGCTTTTAAAATAAAGCTTAGTAGCTTAATTGATACTTTTGTACACTGTGTAGTAGGTATAGAAACAGTACGTTCAAAACTTGTGGAGTACTGCTAGGGGAGAGCCATTTAAAGCTTTGCCACTCAAAGTATGGTTTCTGGATCAACAACATCTGATCATTAGAGGGCTTGTTAGAAATTCAGAATGTCAGACCCCATATTAGACCTGCTGAATCACAGATAATTTGTAGGCACATTAAAGTTTTTGATGCACTAATTTAAACCAAATTAAATACACTATTTAGAAATTAGGGTCGATTAATCATATTTCCATTAAGACTCACATAGGCAGCTTTTTTAAAATAAAAAAGATCTGTTAATAAATTTTAGATGATTGAATTGCTTTTTAAAATTGATTATATCAGGACATGTTCATTAAACTTTTCTGGGGTAGTGGTTGAGAACTGGAATATCAGTTGGAATTATAGCTAGAAAGGGAAATTATCACTAACCATCAGTACCAAACCCTATTTATCTATATTATTCTTTTAATGACCAAAGTCTAGGTATGCCTATGAGTGTCTCACATTCGAGAGATTATGTTTACATAGAAAAATGTTGAGAATTACTGAGTAGTGTTTCTCAGACTTTTCACCAAATTGGATCTGATGGTTTAGGATAATTAATATTTATATCCATGGATTGAAGTACCCACTATAATCATGAAATATTTACTTTCATGCTATACTATTAATTTAAATTTTGTACTATTTAATATGCTTAAAATATAAGAAATTCACTACAAATAGAAGCAACAAGCAAAGCAAATAGCTCAAAATTTGTTATAGGCTGTTGCGGTAAGTTCTGTAATTTAAAACATTTCATAAATGAACAAAAAGTAAATATGTGGAATAAGAAGGAATGTCCCAAGCAGTCAAACTATCTTTATATTTTTACTCCTTACTTGGGAACCATGTATATTTTTAAGATAATATAGCCTGAGTTTGACTATAAACTTACAAATACTGAGAAAACTCCTCCTTTATAAGTTGAGAGATTCCTGATAAAATATTATCTACTGCAATTGTTGAAACAATTAGCTTTATAGTTTGACTATCATGTGAGGGTATAATATAAAGTCTGATTATGAAGCTGTCTATTGTAGTAGCAGGAAGTAAGACAATTCACACGTGGCATGGAATTAACCTCCTTGTATATATCCAAGAGCATCCGAAACACATCTACACAAAAAATTGTACATGAATGTACATAAATACATTATCCATAATGGCAAAATGTTGGAAAAGCTGAAGGGTTCATTAACTGATAAATGATCAACCAAATGTGGAGTAGCCATACAATGTAATATTACCTGGCAATGAGAAGGAATGAATTACTGATATAAACTATGATATGGAGGAACCTTGAAAGTGTTATGCTAAAGGGAAGTCAGTCACAAAAGTCTACATATTATGTGAGTTTGTTTATATGAAATGTCCAGAATAGGCAAACCTATCGAGACAGAATAGTAATTGTGTGAGACTGAAAATGGGAGCATGAATTAACTGCAAATGGGTATGAGGGAATGTTTGGAGATTGTGGTATACTCTTTAAACTATATCTGGTAAACTTCAACCAGCTGTACATTTACAAGGAGTACATTTTTATGCAGATTATACTTCACTTGATCTTAGCCAAAAGGCCGAAAAGTGATTATATAGGTTATACTTCAATACAGCTGTTAAAAATTTTAAAAAGTTAACCCCCACAAAGCTTGAAATAAAGTTAATTCTCTAAAAATATAAATATCACACACATGTCTTTGGCATATTATCATACAAGACTTGTGTACATTTGGCTTCATAATCGTGGTTCTGAGATGTTCCAAGCATCTGCATATTTTTCACATTTGACAAAGGAAAGAGATGCATTTAACTTATTAAAAGCATCCTAATGCTCATACTGCCAAAGAGAAGGCTGAAAGAAAACTTTAAAATACGAAAGATCCTTTTGTCATGAATTGTATAAATACGGACAGGCATCTAGGTCTTCTTTAATGTAATATTACTGATCAACTTCATTATTTAGTTTGCTGTCATCTAGAACTAATTCAAGGTCAGTTTAGTGATATAATGGCAGCACTTCCTTTCTACATGATGAAACCTATAAACAGATGGCATACTAAAGTGTTAGTTTTTATTAATCACATATATCAATTATCATTTATATTCAACTAGTTTTTTCCTCTCAAAACCAGACATATTATATTTGGAAAATTAGTATGTGATAGGTATATTAAACACAAGACACAAACTTTTATCGGAATATTTTATTTACATTTTATATTTAAAGAGAATCAATACAAATTGGGTCATACTTACAGCATTTCAAATCAGTGTATAAGAATGCAATGGTTTCACCCATTCTACATTCAGCAAAAAAAAAATACATGTCTGTTCTATTTTTGTCTAAATTCTGCTGGAATTTGCACTGGAAATAAACTAAACTAAAAGACAAGCCACACAGAATACAAATAAAGTGCATTTTTAAATAGCTCTATTTAACTTTGGTGGATGAAGCTTCAAACTTTATATTAAGGCACCTGGAATTCCCACCCCTATTTCTTTTTCAAACACCAAAAAATACATTCACAAAATTATAGCTCCATGGACAGAATTTTAGCTTAATGTAATTTTAGCCCATATAGGCCAAATGTAAACTTAATTTTCAAAGTCAACATTGTTTGGAAAACATTATCTATAGACTAATTCTACGGAACATTTTCTTTAGACTAATTCATGCACAAAGATCAATTAGCAATTTTTGTATGACTTTGTCATTATCATTTTCAAATAGTATGGTAGTTTATATACTGTGCTTTTGAAAATCTCACAAGTTTGAGAAATAGTTATACAATATTTTTGTAAGAAAGCTTTTTGTCTATAATCTTCTGTCAAATTGGTGTCACTAATATATTAATCAGTCGATTCAGTCTATATTCTCTGATGAACTATGCTTGACACATGAAATACATTTAGCCTAATTTAAAAAAGAAAACATTTAAATATTTTGCTTTAATCTTGTTCTATCAACTTAATGTAGTTTAAATAGACATTTTATGAAGAACTAGTCTAAGTTTGCATTGCTTTTTACATTAACATTCCAGATCAATATAAGCACCTGGAGAAAAACCCTGACACAGATAGCCCAAGCTAAAGTAGTATTATCTTTAATTAAGATACTATCATAAAATAAAATGATTATAGCTATTCCACATTTTAAAAGCAACCTGTTTTTTATAAGAAAATTGTTATAAATAAAAAACATGACTACTTGAAGACAGTCTTGAATGTTTAAAAATGTTGCTATCACTATTCAGAGGAAGTTTGCCTATGAAAAATGGAAAAATGTTAACAGGTTAAATAAGCCATTTAACTACAGTGTAATATTAGTCATCTCAGCACTTTCAGTATCATTTTTATTTTATTAAGTTTACCCAGTTTATTAATAGTAAACTAAGCCTTGATTGGCAGTCCTGTCATTACTAAATTTCAAATTTTCTATTAACACAGATTTTATGATTTAATTTCTTGAACAGCAGTTTCTTGATCAGGAGTTTCATCTTCTTCAAAGGTTGGGTTGTCAACATGAGGAACAACATCCACTGCTACAAAATTTGCTTCATGGTTTACCAGCTGTAGATTTTCATCTTTAAAAAGAAATGGTAAATTTAGGATGATGTCACCCTTGTCTTAAGACAAAATGTAATATTCACTTACATGAAGCCTTTCTTATTTCATCCCATTATACTCCGTTTATGACATTATCTGTTCCTTTAATAATTATATGAGTTATGCTGTTTTAAAGCATGTATGACATTATATTGATTTATAATTACTCTGTTTATGTGTGTTTACTTCTACCTAGATTATCACCTCCTAAAGAGCAAAAGTTACATCTTCTGCACGCTAAATATAAGTTCTTAAACCTGGCTGCACATTATTATCCCCTGGGCACTTAAAAAAAATCAGTGCTTTTTTATATTCATAAACTAATATAAATAGTTTTTAAAAAATCAACCAGTAAGGTGGGAGTGCTCAATATGGATTATAAATGTTAACAAATGGACCTAATTATATTATAAATGAAATATATAACCATCCTAAATATGGTAGGGGTCTGGGGATGTAGCTCAGTGGCACCATGCCTTCCTGGCAAGCACAAGGTCCTGAGTTTGATTCCCAGTACTGGGGAAAAACAAACAACAAACTAAATAGGGTAGGGAAGGTAAGAACTAAACTGAAATAACTTCGGAAAACAGTAGTTTGACTTTATCCTAAGTGGCTGAAAACAAAAAGAAGTGCATACTAGTTAGTAAAATTGTTTTATACAATGAGTTAGCAATGCTGAAATTATTTTATGTGTATTCTAGAACTGAACAATTAAGTAAATATATTTTGGATAAGAAAAAGGAAAGCCTTTCTACATTCACCATCAGACAAAGAGTTATAAATAAGGAAAGGGGAGACTAGAATGAACCCTGTGATTTTGGACTAGAATCAGATGTATCAGTTCAACCTCATTGTTTTTCAGAGAGATGACTGATTGATAGATACATACATACATACAGAGCAGATAGAGATCTAGATGTATGTATGTATTTGTGTGAGTACATAAATGTATTTACCGGTCTTATTCATTTTAGGGACCAACAGCAATGACACCTTAGTAGCAATAAGCATGCCTAGTGCCCAGATCTTGGGTTTGTTTTTTTGTTTTTTTGGTACCGGGGATCGAACTCGGGTCCTTGCACTTGCACAGCAGGCGGTGAAACCACTGAGCTAAATCCCCGACCCCAGATCTTGGTTTTGAAATACATTCTCCAATAAAAGGCCCCCTCAAGAAATGGCTTATTCTGGGGTTAAGACAAGGAGCATACAAGATTAACCTACATTCTAGTCTAAGGGTCAGTAAACTACAGCCCACAGAGGCAAATCAATAGCTAAGAGTGGTTTTCAGGCTTTTAAAAGGTTGTAAGTCAAACCAACCCCTCTCCCAAACACACACACACACACACACACACACAAACACACACACACACACAAACACACTATGAAGCAGAGATTTATGGCCTTCAGAGCCTAAAATATTTACTACCTGGCCCTTTACAGAAAAAAAATGCTAATTCCAGACCTAGAATATCTTGTGATACCAGAAAGTACAGAATTTAATAATAAAAAAAAAGAAATTGAAAGAAGAAGCCAACTTACATAAATTCCCCATGACCAAATCTAAGACAATATGAGAAATGGGTAAATCATGAGAATAGTACAGAATGAAAGAAATACTGTATCTATGATTCCTTACAATCAACAATGAGAAAAAGAACAGCTCTTCCTTACATTAAATGGATAATAAATGTAGAATGACAGAAAGAGAAAATCACTATTTGGTAAATCCTTTGATACTAATTATTACAAGTAAGAAGCTTCAGTAATTGCTAAAATTAGTGAGTAAGGGAACACTGAAAAATAGGATAGTTGCAAAGTTTCCAGGTGTCTCTCCATAATATATTTAATAATTAGAAAAAGAAAAATAGTAACTTCAAAGGGAGAGATTCGACAGATACTATCCCTAACCAAGTGGGGAAAGTTAAAATCATTAGTAATAAGACAAGAACAACATGTGGTTCATAATATGGTGATTGAGAAGGATACAGGATTGCATCTCTGGTATTCTTACCAGGAATGGACAATGAACTTAACAATTGGGAAACAGCAGACAAGCCTAAACTGAGGGACATTCTATAGAATAACTAATAATATATAGTCTTTAAAAGTGCCAATGCCATGAAAGACAAAGACTGAAGAATTCTCAAAGACTGGAGATTAAGGATACATGACAACTAAATACAATGTGGGGTCTTGGGACAGATAAAGGACATTCATAGGTTAATTTGTGAAATTTAAGAAAGGTTTGTAGTTTAATAATATTTTATCAATTAATTTCCTAGGTTTGATTATTATATATGGTTATATAAGGTGTTAACATTTGCAGAAGTGGGGTGACACATATATAGAAGTTCTTTGTACTATTTTTAAATGTTTTTTGTCAATCTGAAATTATTTAATAATGAAAAAAATCTGTGCTTGGGCCCAATCCCTCATGATTCTGAATTAGCTGCTCTGAAGTAGATCTCAGGCATCAGTAATGTTTAAAATCTTTCCAAATGATAGTGATGTACAACCGGGGCTGACAGCTAGGAGTTTATTCAATTGTTCTCAAAGTGTGGTCCCTGGACAAGCAGCATCTGTATCACCTAGAAACTGAACAGAAATGCAAATTCTCAGGCCTCACTCCAGACCTACTGAGTCAGAAACCCTGGTGGTGACCTCTCTCAACAAGCTCTCCACGTGACTTACTTAGTGCTTAAATTTTAAGACCTGAATTCTGTAGAGCTTACCTCAATGATGTGATACACAGACACGACCTATTTGTGTGCGTTTAATTAGTAGGGCCCCAAGTGAGGGGAAAAACTGAAAGGGGTAACAGAAGTGACAGTAGGTTTCCCCAACTTCTTGAGAGAGAAGAAGTGGAAGAAACTGGTAATTTCTTGGGAAAAAAATGAGTGGAAAGAATGGGCACAGTGATAGTCAAGCTATATCTGTGAAATTACAGTTGGAAATTAGGGGACAGAATTGATAAAAAAGATATAAAATCAATAGGGGAGAGAAGAGAAGGGAGAGAGGAAAACTTTAGGGTAATCATAGTTTCTTGCTTGGAGTATTACTATCATTTGTTTAGGTAAAGAGTACAAAGAGGAATATGAATCATCATTTCATTTTTTTTTCAAATTCTCTTCTGCTTATCCTCTTCTCCCAAATTACACCCACAAGAACAGAACACAAAAACAGAAGATTGGAGTTTAAAAAAAGTAGCATACGTAAATTGAATTATCCTGTATACTCTCCTTATCTTCACTGAGTTCTATGACCACACAACCATGGAAGCTCAAGATCATCTGGGGCAAATAGGCAATGATTATCTATTATAGATATAACATTCAACAAATCATTACTTTATATTAAAAGAAACGTCAGGTAATTAGATTCCAAGAAATACAAGATGCTTTTGCACAATAGTATTCCTTGTAACATCTTCAGAAATGGTATCTATGGTACTGATAAGTCTACAAAGGACAAAGTTTTATGTCAGAGGATGCTGAAACTTTTACAAGCCATCTTGATTATTAGTTTTTTCTAGTTTTATGCTAACATATGATAATCTCAAAATCAGGATTGAGGAAATAAACCTTCAAACCAACAAAAAACAGTTTGTGGTTAAAGAAGAGGAAAATAATTGTTTAGTTTTCTTTTTATAGGGAAAAGAGTAACAAAACTCCCTCAAACGTCTCCACTGGTATAAAAATACTAAGTTGCAATGCTAATTCACATGAATTCTGCAAATATATTCAATTTTAGTTTCCAACAGTTTATTTATTTCACGATAATTAGTCAACAGGTGGCAGCACATACCATTTTTATACATAGTTTCCTATCTGAAGAACATGGGTTCCCGAGAAGTTGGGCATAAGTCAAGCTTTTACAAATCAGATTCCATTTTATTGCTTCAGGACTCCTTTATTTTACTTTCTGATTTATTTGTAATAACAATGGCTTCTAAAGTTTAATGTTTCTCCTTAGCCTCAGTAAGTAGTTAATAAGCCAACATTTATATGGGTCAGAGAGAAAATGTCTAATAAATCTTTCTATTGTGAATAATCCCTACTCCTGGTGCATCTCATCTATTTCATCTATACATATTTGAATATGTATATGCATTAAGTGAGGGTATGGGTGCATCCTTCATTGCATTTTATGTAGAAAAACTGAAATGTGTTAATAGATTAAAAACAGGAGTACTCAAACAGACGTGTCCCCTGTAGATCATTTGTGAAGCACTCCTTGCCAGTCCATATGGTGGTGCTTACTTGCTGATTGCATGTGTTCCTCTAGAGGCGGTTCATCTGCTCCCTGTACTGAAGCGTATCCAGATGATGCAGTCTCACTGCGACTATCCTCTTCATGGGCAGAAGCACTATTGGATGCATCACTGGATACAGGGACTTGCAAAGACACTGACCCATCTTCAACATCCACCTTTGAAAAGCATTTGAACAAATTAAAATACTCTCAGAGTATATAATTTTCCTTGATATATCATTACAAAGTTTCTTCATAAGTGACTTTTACAACAATGTTTCTTAACCTTTGAAATCTTATAATCCCTTTTGATGATCACAAAAATCTCTTGCTGGTACCAGTCAAAACAGTTAGAGTAGTAATTGGGTCCACCAATGGGTTGCACATCTGATATATTTATTTAGGTGATGCCATAATCTCATAACATAATGGCTGGTACAAGGTAGGCATTCAAAAATATATATATCATGCTGTTCCCTAGGGGAACTGAGAATTATTGTTGTCTATGTATCTCTGTAAGACATGGAGATTTTGTTAAGCTTAACTTTTGTTTTATCTTGATAATGTTTTTATTTATCAAATATAAAATTATAATTTAATGTTTATTATGCTTTTTTATGCCCATTTTACTAGGCATTTGGTCACTATGCAATCATAGAGTGAAAAACAGAAAAGGGAATGCCAAGTTGGTAGTTTATATGTCCATCACATCACATTCTGGCCAAATAAAAAGTACATTTGAGGAGAAGGAGAAAGAAGGAAAATGGAGATGGTCCAAAACAGCACCTCACACCACTATGATGTAAATATGTCTAGTTTTACTTATGAACTATATAACTGGTACATTACATAGCTAAAAAGGGGAAGTTATTTTCCTGGATGCCCAGGGACATAAATAATATACTCTTTAAATTCTTTCATATAAATAGTGTAGCAATGTTTACCTCAATTCCCAAAGCTTTGAGAATGTCACATTTGCACATGGGGCAAGTCCTATGTTCTAACAGCCATGGGTCAACACATGTCTTATGGAAAATATGGCTAATAAAGGAGAAAACACACCATTTAGTTATCAGATGTAAAGCACAACAGCACTTTGCCTAATATATCATAGCACGTTATACCACAACTTTACTCTTTGATTTGATGCCTTTTCTCCATTGAAACACACTGTTAATACAAAGCAGAAGCCACAGGAAGAAAATTTGGAAAGTTCATAATACAGTATTTTTAAATATAAAAGCTTCATTACTTTAGCTTCAAAACACAACTATTAAGAAAAAAACAACTATTTTCAGTTCTCATTACTTGAAAATGGCCAAGATGATACCTCATTTAAGTAATTCAAATATTACAATTTGAAACAGTCAATTCCCTAACTGCAAAATGTTATAGTCATTCTCAATAACACAGTATAATATATTACTGAGTACAACACAATACTGGTGCTTTAGGCAATGTGCTATGTTCCAAGAGCACCATTATTTAATAGCCAAAAGTGTCAAAGTGTTTCCTTTAGGAAAGGTATGATGATGATGATGATGGTGGTGGTAGTGGTAGTAGTGGTGGTGGTGGTAGAGTGGAGACTTCCAAATAGGTGCTCATAAGTTTATTTTTTATCAAAGAAATTGTTGGAATGAATTTGTTTTTGTATTTTTTTAGACAGGATATCACTATGTAGTTCAGGCTGACCTTGAACTCACTATGTATTTCAGGCTGACTTTGAACTCACTAAGTAGCCCAGGCTGGCCTCAAACTTGCTGCAATCCTCCTGCCTCAGCTTCCCAAGTGCTGGGATTTCAGGCATGCACCACCCCGCCTGGTTCTAGAATGAATAAAACATTAAATAATCTAGTACTGGTTAGGTTCTAAATTTTCCATGGAATTAGTTTAGAACAAATTGTACCCAGTTATGGAAGCTATGTAATTAGACAATATCAATTACTGTGTTATTAAAAGATAAAGCATTTTTCTGTATTTAAATGAAAATAAGTTTAAAATAAACGCTTTCTGTAAATCAATGTGGAAACACTGAAAATAGTTTTTTCTATCATAATCACTTTTGTGCATCATTAATTTTAATTGATGGTGTAAAAGAAAAACAAACTCACTTGCAGGTTAAGATGCGTACCAAATCATTTGGTTTATATAGCTCAATACACACAGCACAACTATCTCCATCAGGGCCAATTTCCTATGAGCAAATAGTTATTGTTACTCTGATAGATAAGAAAAAATAAAGTTTGGAGCAAAATCAGAATACACATATATTCAACTACCATAAATTCCTATAGAAATCTTATCACTAAGTGACTACCTGTAAAGTTTCAATAGGTCATTTAAATTTATTTAGACTTAAAATAGGTAAAAGAATAAAGTCAACAAAAGGGGAACAAAGAAAAATCATATAGCACTAATTTAAACTATTCTTCTTGACTTTAGAATTCATAAAATGACACTTGTACAATTACTTGTTTTCTTATTTAAAAATAAGGTATAATTTACATACAGTAAAATTTACTTTTAGTGTGCAGTTCTGCAAATTTCCACAAACATATATAGGTGCTTTACTCTCATCATAATCAAGATATAGAATAGTAAAATTCCCCCAACAAACTCCTTAATGCTCCTTGGAGTATGGAGTTTCCCTCACTTCTAGTCCCTGGTAACCACTGTTTTCAGTTCCTATAGTTTAGCTTTTCCAGAATGTAAGATAAATGGAATCATGCACTATCTATCCTTTGAGTCTCACTTCCTTCACGTAACATAATACATACATGATTCATCCATATTTTTATCAGTAGAGTGTCCACATCCTTTTTATTGCTAAATGGTATTTTCTTGTTTATCCATTCATTAGTTGAAGGACATTTAGGTTATTTCCAGTTTGGGGCAATTATGAATAAAGCTGCTGTGAACAATTGTGTACAGGTTTTATTTGAATATAGGGGGTTCCCACTTTACTGTAATTATCTAGTACGGTAAGTGTACCTTTTTGTTGTTTTTTTGAGACAAGGTTTCACTGTGTAGTTCAGGCTGGCCTTGAAGTCACTATGTAGCCTTTGCTGGCCTCAAACTTACCCTCCTGCTTCAGCCTCCTGAGTCCTAGGATTACAGGCATGTACCACCATGCCCTGCTTTGATAAGTGTATTTTTAACTTCATAAGAAATTGCTAAACTCTTTTTCAGAGTGGCCATACCATTTTGCATTCCAGGGATCCAACTCAGGACCTTGTGCTTGTGAAGCTGGCGTGGTACCACTGAGCTAAACCCCAGGCCCTCCATTTTGCATTCCTGCCAGCAAATGCATGAAAGTTCCAATTACTCTACATCTTGATCAGCTCTTGGCATGTTCGGTTGTATTAATTTTAGCCATTCTAATGAATGTGCAGTAGTATTTCACTGTGGTTTTAATATTATAGTTCTCTAATGATCAATGATTTAAGCATCTTTTTTTGTTTTTTGGTACAAGGATAGAAGATTTGAGCATCTGTTTTTTTGGTACCGGGAATTGAACTCAGGACCTTACACTTGCGAGGCAGGCGGCTGGACCACAGAGCTAAATCCCTGGCCCTGAGCATCTTTTTATGTGCTTGCCACCAACACGTTTTTGGGTGTAATGTCTGGATTTTTTTTTTTTTTGGTACTGGGGATTGAACTCAGGACCTTGTGCTTGCTTAATTTTTTATTGGGTTGGATTTTTCTTACTGTTGAGAATTCTTTAGACTTTCTGGATACAGCCTTTAAGAAACAGGTGATTTGTAAATATTTTCTCCCAATCTACTCCTTGCCTTTTCCTTCTCTTAACAGCGTCTTTTAAAGAGTAAAAATTCTTAATTTTGACCAATTTCTTCTTTTATGTACTTGTTTTTGGTGACATATCTAAGAAATATTTGCGTGTCCCACATCATGATGATTTTTTTTCCAAAGTTTTGTTCTAAAATTTTTGAGTTTTAGGTTTTATGTTTAGATTGATGATCCATTTTAAGTTAATTTTTAAATAGTGTACAAAGAACTACAGTGGTACCTCAGTTTACAGACTTGATTCTTTCCACAATCCTGGTCGAAAATTGAGTTGGATGAGAACCAAATCAAATTCAATGATTAGGTTCAATGTTGACCTTATGGGGAAATTTGACTTGGTTCTTATGAAGTTCAGTTTGTAATCAGAATTGTGGAGAGAACTGAGTTCATGAACTAAGGTACCACTGTAATTGAGATTCTCTTTTTTCTTATTGTTATCCCTTTGTTGTATAAGCCTATCTTTTCTTCATTGGACTACCTTTGCATATTTCTGGAAAATAAATTAACCATATATGTGTTGGTCTATATTGTAAGTCTATCCTTTCTCCAATACCAAATTATTTTGACTACTGCAGTTGTAAAATAGTTTTAACTAGGTGTGGTAGTGCAGGCCTGTAATCTCAGCACTCAGAAGGCTGAGGCAAAAGGATGAGTTCAAGGCTAGCCTGGGCTACATAGTGAGTTCAAGGCCAGCCTGAACTACATAGCAAAACCTTGTCTCAAAAAAACCAAAAAAAAAAAAAAATTCTGTGAATTAAGTAGTATGAATCATCAAAAGTTGTACTTATTTATCAAAATTGCTTTTATTGTAGTTCTTTAGCTTTTCCATATAAAGTTAGAATCACCCTGCCAATTTTTATAAAAGATCCCTCTAGGATTTTTATCAAAATGACATTGAAATGTGAGGTTTTTTTTTGTTCGTTTTTTTTTTGCTACCAGGGATTGAACTCAGGTCCTTGTGCTTGCGAGGCAGGCACAATGCTGTTGAGCTAAATCCCTGGCCCTTAGATAAGTTTTGAAGGAAATGACACATAGCAATGAGTTTTCTGACCCAGAAACATGGTATATTTCTCTTTTTAGATTTCTTTCTTTCATTAGTGTTTTTGTATTTTCAGCATATAAATTTTGTAGATAATCTAAAATTTATATCTAAGCACTTAATGTTTTTGATACTGCTGTACACGATGAATCTTTATTTTGATGAGTTCTACAGCTATTCTCATGATACATGTTTTATCCATCAATGGTTGTTCTCAACTGTCCTAAATCTGAAAATAAATATTCAAGAAAAGTTGCATTGGAGCACTGCATTAGTTTTCTGGTGTTGCTGTAGCAATTTACTCTAACTTAGTGGCTTAAAACAATACAACTTTATTCTTTTATTATTACAGAGGTGTTGGCAGTACTATGTTCCTTCTTGAGGATTCAGGGGATAATCCTTTTCCAGCTTCTAGAGGCTGTCTGCAATCTCTGGTTCAGTGCCTCTTCTTTGAATTAATACAATTTCTTGCTTCCATTGCCATATCTCCCTCTTCCTTCACCTTATAAGAACACTGTGATTATATTTAGGACCCATCTAGATAATCCAAAATAATCTTCCTATCTCAGTTTCTTTATCTTAATTGTATCTGCTAAGGCCTTTCTACCATAGAAGGTAATGTTCATGGGTTCCAGCGATTTGGACTTAGATATGTTTGAAGGTCATTATTCAGCCTACTCTCAGCATCAAATGCATTTTTTAAAGCTAATAAGATTTATAAAAGCCAATGAAAGGCAGACTGAAAGAGTAGTTTGAACAATGGCATAAAAGCACTGCTTTAAAACAAATGGCATTTAAAAGTAATAAATGCACCTTGTCTCCTTGTTTCAGTGTGCGCAGCTGAAGCCTTCCAATAGCTTTTTTGGCATCTGCTTTTAATTGTCTCTGTAATAAAAGTGACAAGTGTTAGAAAAAGTGCTTTTTAAAAGAACTATGGTGAAAAAGTAGAGTAGACTAATAAATGTCATGTAAAAGTCAATGTATAAATGTATTTTAAAAGAAAATTTAATTAACTGTAATGTGCCCCATTTTTTTATATCAGGCATTTTTTTAAATTAATGAAACGTTTTCCTTATATTTCCTTACTTTCTTAAACAGCATTTTTAGGCCTACAATGATAAAGCTATATGTCTCTATTCCAAATAGTTTCAGATGCTATAAATTTTCAGAGCAATTTTCCTACTTTCAAGCCCAGAGGACCTTAAAGTGCATCTTCTTTGATTTCTTTTTTGAAACATGTTTTGTAGAATGCACACAGGATTTGGATTCAAATGGACATCAATTCAAAATCTGATTTTGTTACTTACTAAATGAATAACTCTAGACAAGTCACTTAAGTTTTTGAGCTTATTTACTACTCTACAAAAAAGGATAATACTAACTTTTACAGTATTTATAGTAGAAAAAAATTGCTTTTATAACCACTATTGCCTAACAAGGAGGATGGATTCTGAGAGTACTGTAGGCACCTTTATTGTTTCAGTGAGCACATATCTAAATGAGTCTGGGTATTCAAGGCTCATTTAGGGAGTGAGGCTTAAACCATTATGTATTATTGAGAAGTGAAGATGGAGTATGAGAGGAACCTAAAAGATGAGGAAAAGATTACAAAGAGAGAAATCATTGAGAGACTGTCCTTTTTCTATGTAAAGTAAATTGGCCAGAGGGAAAAAAATCCCAAGTGGTATGATGTATTTGGTGTTAATTTGGTGTAATGTTGCAAATAAATCCTTTCACAAAAATCTACTACATACATGAATGCCTCAAGTGAATATAATATATGTGCAAATTGAAATAGAGGCTAGATTTCACACCTGGGTGGATGCTGTGATGATTATAATAATAGCATGCACAGCATGGCCAGATGATAAGCAATATTCCTATTTTGAATTATAAAATGAAAAAACTTACTAGAAATTCAGCAAAAAGTAAATGCCCAGAACTAGAGGTCACTGTGAGAATGTAAAGAGCTTCTTCATCCCTCTTACATTCCCTTCCCTAGCAGGGTTCCCAGCTGGCATTCAGGGTACATGAAAATTAGAAATAATGTCATTAAAGTATCTGGCATAATGCCTGACGAATAGGAGACATTCGGTGAAAAGAAAATACAAGTTACTATTCATAAATAAGCATCAACACGTACTTGTCACAAGTCTACATATTTGTAGCACATATATTTTGCAAGGGAATAATCCATAGTTTAGATAGACAAGGTATCTCCTTAACACCCAAACCTGTCTCCTATATAAGAAAGCATTTTATAAAAGACATTTGGTTTAAGACCAAGGAAATTATTAGCCAAACTATTTCTTTGCTCTCACAGGACAGCAAAAATCTCTTGGATTATTACCTTACTAATAAATATAGCTTAATAGAAGTAATTAATAGAAAGGTCTAGAGCCTAAGAAGAAAAGAGTTATTAATGACAATCCTTTTACTCCTTTTTTTTTTTTTTTTTTGGTACCGGGGATCGAACTTGAGACCTTGCACTTGCGAGGCAAGTGGCGAAACCACTGAGCTAAATTCCCAGCCCTCCTGTTCTTAATTTTGGGTTAAAGGGGGATTCTATGATGGGCTTTAATTTGGAGCCCAAATATCTTCCTATTTTATTAGTTACATTGTAAATAAATAATAAAGTGATGGTGAACCAAGGATACTTAGGATCTATAGATCACATAGCCCAACATCTAATCTGAGAGAGAGAAAATTGATGCCAAAGAGGAAGAATGTCTGGATCAAAATATCAGAGTTGGTTAGTTTCAGCCTCACCAAAGCTCAGAGTTGCATCAAGGAAGTCATCTGTGGCTTGGAGCAGGAAGTTACTACTACTTCCTTATATTTACACAGTTGTTACACTGTTTTAAAACCATTATTTCAATCCATTACTTCATTTAATTCTCATGCGAATACTCTGAAAGAGGTAATAATCTCCTGTAAAGATGAGCAGCTGGAGGCTAGGAAAAGTAAAATAACTCGTCCAAAAGGGAATAAAGCCTCTGTTACTGGAATGCTGATCTTCATATTCCAAGAGTCAATTACAATATAACCATTCATAATTCAGCTATCTTTTCATGCTTTTCCAGTTCCTCCATTCTATGGTTGTTTTGTCACCAGTTTAGACAGGAAAGTTTTACTTTGATTTAGGCATCCCGAAGAAGAGATGCAGAGCCATGGACTGAGGTAGACATCTTCATTCTCAGCCGCCATATTATATGCCCAGTGGCCCAGCTGTTATATCTGTCCAGCCGTTCTTGTGGCTGTCAGCCACGGTCCACACAATAGTGGCTTTCTGCCAGTACCAGACCTTATAAAAGGCAAGTGGTTACCAGGACATCAAGAAATATACCTGTGTTGGAGTCTTGTTGACCCACTGCCTCCTGGATACCCCCCTTCACAGCCTGAACTATAGTTGTGGCCATCTTGGGCTTTTTCATGATCCTTTACAATGGTCTGTCAAACTGTGGTAATTCCTTTTCAGTGAACAACTAGACCCATGGGCTGCTGGCTCTGGCCTAGCTTTCCAATCTTCACTACTTTCCTTTCACATAGATTCTGAACTACTGAGTGAGAGGAGAAAGATGCAAATGAAAAGAGGAAGAAAGAGGTGGCAGGAGGCAGTAATGTACTTGGTAATATGTGTCTGATAATAATTTTTCTCATCTTTAAAGCACTTCTGATTTAGGTTTAAGTAGTGAGCTCTAACATTCAATTAGGGAAAGCTCTCATAAAGAAGTTGTATCTATTTAATTGATTAAGCTAGTATAGTCTGATTTCTCACTCTAAAATATTCAATACAATATAAATTTCAGTCTTCAGTGCTAATGCTTATCAATATATTAGGAATGAATGCCAAATATATAACTTTCTTAAATGTAGCTAAGTTTGTAATACAAATTAATTTGAGGTGCAGGATTACATAATGCCTGAGTCTATTCCCAGGAGAACAGAACTTACATTAAGACAAATGCTATAAAAGGTACTGGGAGGATAATACTAATATATATATGGAAAAATCCAAGATGCCAGAAAATACTAAACAAGAGAATTGGTTCTAAAAGATGTCAAAAAGATTTGCAGCATAGAATAAAATACTGTTTAATTAAACATCATTGAAATAAAATTTTGTTTAAAGAGAAATTTAGATATTTTCAATAGGTCTTACCGAGTTTATATAAAGAAAAGCCACTTCCTTTAAATTTGGGCCTGAGACAAGTGATATGGGTTAAAAAGTGCACAAACTGTACTTTTAGATCTTGAATGAAGGTCACTTAGAAAACTGCTATTAGTACTCAAAATATTTCACTGTCACCCTGAGAGTAAGAGTTCCAAAATGCAGTCCTCCCCATCAAACACTGAAATACATAGCAACATTAGGACCAAGTAGTTTATATTGAATATGTATGTTTGGACAATATTTAAAGTAAGTCTTCAGTTCCCCAATATACCTCAACATTCATAGACAATATGCACCAATGCAAATGGTAATTTATGTTTTATTCTTTAAAAACCAGAACGTCAAGAGCATATACACATTGTTATGCAAATTATATTAGATACTTTTCCAATGCCTTGCCACAATATCAAAATTCCCTTCCACCCTATATATTCTAGTAGCACGCTGTTTTCACCTCTTAACACATTTTGTAATTGTGTTATTCACTTGTCTTTCTCTCTTACTAACTTATCAGTAGCTAGATGACTGGGCCTTAGTATTTTAAAAATAATTCCCATCATGGCTAGTAGTTGCTCAAAGAATAGTTTCTGAATTTAGAAAATATGAACAAACTTTTATGGTTTTATCATCTAAGGCACTTCTCAGTTTTACTTTTTTTTTGGTACCTGGTATCAAACTTGGGACTTTGTGCTTGCAAGGCAGGTGGCGGAACCACTGAGCTAAATCCCCAGCCCCTCAGTTTTACTTATTAAAAGTCTCTACTCCATTAAATTTTTGGAAAGAAAGGTTTAGCGAGCATTTATTGGGCTTCTACCATGTGTCACTTTCAACTAAGATTTTTACATGTCATTATGAATAATCATTAACAACCCTGTGAAATAGGTATTTTAATATCCAGGTTTTATAGACAAGAAAAGTCAGGTTCTAAAGCCTGACTAAAGTCCAGGCAGCTGGTGAGTTGAGGAGCTATGATTCATTCAAGCCCAGGTTCTATCTGGCTTTAAAAGTCCATGAGTTCTCCATGCATTCTTTACTGCATTCATTGTGTTATAGCAAAGAAGCTATTAAAAGGCTCTGCATTTCCTGTGAAGAAGATAAATGAAAGAAACAAGGAGAAAAAAACCTCAAAGTCCAATATGTTGGACAATTTCCTTTTTTTTTTTTTTGATACTGGGGATCAAACTCAGGACCTTGTGCTTGCCAGGCAGGTGTGGCACCACTGAGCTAAATCCCCTGCCCTGCTGGCCAATATTCTTTTTTTTTTTTAAATTTTATTTTATTGGTACATTTTAGGTATACAATATAATGACATTCATCATTGGAAATTTGCACCTTTACATAATCTATCTTGGTTCTTATTATTTTTCTCCCTTCCCCTGCCCTTCCTTCAACCCCTCCATCCCTCCCTATTTACAAAGACTTTGTTTCCATATTTTCATTTTCTCATATTAATTCCATTGCCTTCTTTGTTTTCCCCCTACCCCTCCCACTTCCCCTTCCCCTTTTCCCCTTTTCTAACTATTTCACATTATCCTATAACTTTTACTCCTCGTTTACACTTTCAGTTTCTCATACTAGAGAAACTATTCAGTATTTACACGTCGGTCCTATTTATTTCACTTAAGAGTATTGCCTCTATGTGCATCCATTTAGCTAAAAATTTCTCTAAATTCTCATTTGTTATAGCTGAGTGGTACTCCATTTTATTAAA